GAAAATACATAGAACATTGAACTAATCATTGAACATTGAACATGCCATGAAGCCTTGAGCCGGGTTTGGTGTGGTACCAGTACTAGTACTATCTACTATTTACCGGGTGTTTTGAATGGATCTCAATCAGAGTCACTGACCACTTCTGTCGGGCTGTGGCCGTCCATGCTGCCAGGGGCTGTCGTGCACGATTCAACTGGCGAAGCTATTGCATCGGCATCAGCCAATTTATTCATGCCGAACAATACCAGCTGCATGGCCTCATGATACCAAGGTGGCAATGTCCCGGGCAACAAGTCCAGCTCATCCACCGGAGTATCAACCCCCGGCATCAACGCCGTGTGTAGATCTTCATCACGGGTCCGGCTGATGCATTCGAGGAGGTCCTTCAGCCCGATGTCACCCCGCCAAAACATTCGCTGAACCATGGGCAGTGACAGCTTATGCAGCGGCGGGCTGGTGTCAGGTTCCTTGGGCAGCATCTTCATCAGCTTGGGCGGCTCCAACTCTTCAATGACGACTTCCTCCATCGACTCATCATCCTCCTCAATCTCCACGATCTCATATGAAGGGGACTGCGTGGGCGTGACCGGCAGATCGGCATCGTCATAGGTGTGCGCGGCCCTCCATGATGGCCATGAAAAGTCCGGCTCCTAAGGGGCGCTGCCAATCTATGTAATGAGGATAGGTGAGGACATGTGGGGGGTTTGGTTGGTCGGGCAGGTGGCAAATGAAAGACGAGTGTCAGTGCCACGAGTGCTGATGCAACAGTAGAGGCATTCATCATCATGACAACCAATTGAAAAGTGGGGACCTGACCGGGCTTGCACAGAATAGTGCTGTAACACAATTTGAACCATGCCTTGGCTGCCAACTCCCCCAGTGTTGACTGAGTGAGTGAGTTGAGTCGACTTCGAAACTCGAAATTTCTTGTATGTTGAACTTGTTCAACAGTTCGTTCAACATGTTCATGTTGATGAAACTCACAAAGTCCTGCTGCGGCCAGCGCCACGACCAGCTCTCATCGCCCCTCCGGTGCTTGCCGCCATAGTAGGCCCCCTGACACGTACTATGTACATATCAAGTATCGAAATGTCACACACATAGTGACACATAGGTCGCACAAGTCAAAGCTAAATGAAAAACACTTGTTTGGCACCCAGGTTGCGATGTTCACGTGGTTTGTGTGTGTGTGACATGATCACGGAAAAATAACCAACATCCATAGTGTTTGGCATCATCCGGAGCCTGTGCAACCTCAGCACCTCGCTTCTGGCCGAACTTCGTCACAAAGCCAGACATGGCGGGCCAGTGGACGCAGGGCAGGGATGCCAAGATGTGCAAAAATTGTGCCCAAAAAGAGCTGCGGCGCCACATCAGACTTCAGCCCACTCTCCAAGAGCCAACTCACACCCTCCATGGACATGTACCCCAAAACTAGTTCTCATAAATGGGTTGTGCATACATCTCACACAGGGATCATCCAATGCACATACCACTACCACCCCAACAATGATTCGTATGTCGATTATGTAGGTAGGGAAGTTGGCCCTTAGACATTCACAACATCACATGCAGGTGCAGTACTAAAATGTTGGATATCGAGTAGTAAAACGGGAGTGAATACAGAAAAGAAATCTCAAAATTATTCACTGACTCCTGAAAAGCAAAAAGGGTAGGTGACCGGTAGGTGGTGCAGAAAAACAATATGCCCGAAATCCCGAAAATATGTCCCCTTCCAAGCATGGACTATTTGTGAGGGTTCAACCGTTTGAGCCCAGCCAGACATGTCCAGAATTTCTGGAGTGCTTCCTGTCCCAAGCCACCAAATTCATTATCAATCCTGATCCCCCCAATTCGTTTGAGGGGGGGCCCTTTATTAATCACTCTCCAACATAATGCTGATCATGCAACACAAAGCCAGTGGAAATCTTCCCCACTTCAACCCTATTAACTAGTCCCCCCCAAGGGCCCCCAAGTAACATGTTTTCTCCAGGGAAATTCCCTAAAACCCTATATGGCGGCCCGATGTGCCCACATGGTTACCTTGTAGCAATGAGGCAGTTTATTGTTGGGGAATCAGCCAGTGAAGATAGATGAATGCAGGTCATGTCATGTTCCTTTTGTTGGCAGCAATTGTGCAACGCCTGTCCGACCTCCGGAGTTTAGTATTGGTTTAGTTTTGGGTCAATTGAAAGTAGTAAGGGAGACCAAGACCGGACCCTTGCCCCGTCCAGCCCAGCCCCCGCCTGCGACAAATCGCCCTGCGTTAAGACCAACGGCCCCAGCACCTCCCCGATCTCCACCCGCATCTTGTCGAGCTTCTCCACGCATGACCTGCACCACTGACACATGAGTGGCGATTCAAGTGCCCTGCAGTGAAGCTCCAAGAAACCCCAAGGGAACACATTATGGTTGGATTGATGATTGATCAATGTGTTTTCCTTTTAAAAAATCTTATCTTATCAGATCATCGGATTGTTTTTTCACGTTTCCTACATTGCCACCATGAGTGGGAATTTCCAACCCCACTTGCATGATCATGATTACCCCACATGCCAATCAATGCACCATCTGAATCTGAGGCAAGCGTTGTGAGATTCCTAAAACAAATCGATGAGTCCAGCCCATCACACCCCCTACAGCTAGCAACAACAGCACATCAATGTGTGTCCAAGCCAGGCCTGATGGTGCTGATCGCCATGGCACACATTGCATCGCATGGGGCAGCAGGCCATTTCCAAATGAAACTTACATATACCCCTGAACATGGGCCTGAAATACACTAAAAATCACTTGGTTTGCTGCTTTTGTCACGTACCTAAAGTGGAACCATGATGTTATACTCAGTTCATGGTACCATTACCTCGTGAAATTTCATGTGATTGAACATTCCCTCAATGGTGAAACTAGCAGCAGCAATCGGCCGGCGAGACCACCACCGCATCACGCCAAACTCCCTCCCACGATCCGGAAAACGTCATGCCATGACCCCTCGAAAAGTTAGGTTTATGACACTCCTTCCCGGACAATCTCGCGAAAATTACCAAGTCTCACTAATATATTCTTGGCCACGCTGCAGTGGCTCTGCTTCTTTTAGACGGTCCCTCCAAGAACTTTGACAACTCCCCACTGACACAGGCCCAGCAGACAATGTTGGGACGAAGCTGATTCTTAGGATTGCGGGCGTTTTGTTCAAGAGTGCTGCGTTTTGAGCTCTTGTACCAATCAGTGAAGACACCTACCAATGGTGAAACCGCTGAGTAGGTGGCCAAGAAGCCCCCGAGCCTGTGCAGCAGACGATTTGGTCAGATCTTGCGGCTTGTTTGACTGGTTGCCTTCGGCTGCCAACCCTTAACAGAGAAAAACCGCCAATCCTGGCGGACGGAGATCAAGATACTATACTACCAGTTGCCTTTCGCAAACCCAGCCAAGCATCCTTAGATGTGCAACACATGATATTTGTTTACATCTCAGCTTGCTGGACGCGCACCATACAGATCTTCCCGGCTTGCTTCGGAGGCTGCGCATCCCACAATGGTTTGACCCGTTGAAATTGCGCAGTACCTCCTCATGGCTCGACTCAATGCAAAGGCTTCACCAAAAGCTGACCCTGGCGGCTGACCCTGGGTATCCCCAGCTATGAGAGGCGTTCGCTTGTGATGATTTTGGGTTGATTGGGTCCGCGTGCAAATGGGTCGCAGGTTGGCCTTCGCACTAGGAACGGCAATTTGAATTGGATCAGCGGAATTTAGTTTGCACAGTTCCAATATTGGATCAGTGCAACGAAATGACTGGTATTCTTCTTTTTGCAGGCCTGACCGACGCCGACGACAGGCTGCAACCGACAGAGACAGTGAGCAGTGCCGGACGCATTCAATACCATGCATCGTGGCAAAAGGGAGTTGCACGCCAGGCTTATTGCAGCTGGAACTGGAAAGCCGGTCGGGGGGGGTCCTGATGCGAGATAAAGCGGCTTGAGCGCAATGTTGGGTATGCTTTGGTGGATGAGGGGCAAAGACATCTCGCAAGTCTGAGGTGCGAGCTCTACTTTGCGACTGTGGCTGTGGTTTGCACCTTCGCTGTCTTCCAGCAACTTGCATGAACGGAATCGCCTTGAACCTCTGTACACAATTTGCACAGCCATGCTACGCTGAACATCGATAAGAAGGAGGTCGGACCAAACCATTCCAACAGTGCACAAATGTGGTTTGGTAATTGGTGCCATTTCTTACCGGGTGCTTGAACATTGGCAACAAAGCGGGTGTCAGCCCAGACACGAGCATTTGATCAAGTTCAGAATCAGCCAAAAGCTACTTTCCTGTGCTTAGGTTTTAAATCGCAGAGAGGCCGCAAAGTATACTTGCAGAGCTTCTGGTTTTGATCTCAATTTCCATTGAAAGCAGATGGATCTTTGTGCACCTCGAGGTCTTGTGGTCGCACAGGCGCCAGCAAGCGTGCAATCCTTCCGCGCCTAGGAAGGGTGACTGGCCTGCGCGGTGGCCCTTGCATGTTTGACAACTTGAGTTGCCATGGCTTTGGCCTGGAATAGGCGGAGTTGTTGGTGCAAGGGATGGTGTCCTTTAACTTCCTGATGGCCATGGGTCAAAAGCCAAATCGTACCCCCAGTGAACATCCCAATCCCCACTAAACTAGGTTCTAACATGGGTGGTGAATTCACCTACCAACCAAAATGGTACCATGGGTTTTGACCCACAGCCAGATATCAATGCTTGATTGCTGAACGTGTATGAGGGCTAAAGCATCTGCCAAGCATGGTTCAAGGAAAGAACATAGTGACGGGACTTTTGCCCAAGCATTGTCACATTGTTCTGTAGTGATGTTGGTTGACACTTCATATACATCTTATCAGCACCTCTCATCACCTTGACCATGGATAGCCCTCCCGTTTTCGTGGAACCGGACTCCTCCGAATGCAGACGTTTGATATCATGTTTCGTAGGTGATTCAGCCGACCTCACATGGGAGAGACATGTTCGGAGTGGTTCGGACTGCCCCTCGGAGCACAAAGCCTCGAGTCGCAATGTGCGCACATGGAGCCTGAGGACAGGCTGGTTTGGAGGGTACTCGCGTTGCCAGTGCCAAACTCGGCTAAACGGCCAAGGTGACAGGTACAAATGGAACGTGTTGTTTTCCGGCCTGCAGAGGGGTTGCCGAGTCATGTTTGTTTCTTTTGTTTGGGGATTTCGATGGCTTGTACGGACTTGTCCCTACCAAGGCTTTTCTAGTTGGCTGGTACTGTCAGGAGCCTGAAGCCAAGCGGCCACGTAGCAGGCAGGGTTGCACAGCAGACTACGCGTTGGCTGTTGCAAGCTGAGTTTTGCTTGTTTGTGAACCATTTGTTTCGCTGAAACGGCTGCCATTGCTGCTGAAGCTGCTGCCGACAACTGGCGTGCTCTTGCCTGTCTTGCTTTTGTTGCACTGTTTTCAGGTGTGCAGTTCTTGCGGTTCTGGCGTAGTCCTGTGTGCTGTCCTTCTCTGCTCTTTTGCGTTACGCGTTTTGCTGTCCTATGTCCAGTTCCACGCTGTTCGTCGTTGTTGCTGTGTGTTTCGCACCTCCGGACAATGGTCGAGACTGAGGGTGGGAAACTGGATAATTCTTTGAGCACACATGCGCGTTTGTCTCACACACAACATGAGCATTCGCACAGTTAGTGTTCCATTTGGTTGCCCTGCCATCACCAGCCACAGAGAGGGCACCCTCAAACAAGGCGCACTCATATTACACAAGAATCAGACGTTGTTGATGCTGCGGTTTATAGAAGATTGAGTTGGTTAGAAGGTGTGACCTCTGAGTTTCAACAGGATCAAGAGCGGAATTGCTTTGAGATGCCGAAATTGAAGTTCCTGTTTGCTGTAAATGTCTGAGTCACCTCTTGTGACACTTTAAAGATGGTATGTACTCCAGGTTGACCTTTGGCTGTTTCAGCAGAGGCATGGAGTTCTGCCAAGGTCGGGATGTCAAGGCTCAGAGGCTCCGTTCAGCTGTTGGTTTTCTTTTCCTCCAGATTTCGGCCCAGGAGCCGCGAGGTCGCTGCAGGCATTGTTTGTGCGAGCGAAGGAATGTGGGTGCTCAATGCGGCAGCTCATTTGATCCAGATGGTTCGTATGGATACCTCGTGTTCGGTGTTGAGCAATTTGTAGCGGAAGGTCCCAAGAAGCTTTTGCAGATCTTGTTTTGAGACTTCTCACTGCCAGATGTTCCAGCAACCGCAAACGGCTCGAACGATCAGGCGCGCAGTGTGCAGCATTGATGCGCCCACCAATTTGTGATGTTTTGTTTGCAGGTGTGCCTCTCTTGGGCCATTCAGCAGGCGATGCTTCTGCGACCCTTTCTGTTTTCTTTGCCACAATTTATGTACATGCAACAATGGGAGCGGCAGTGCTGATGTCAAACTCATGGATTCCAACTACCACAGTCCAATGCACTGCAAACTCGCACGAAACTTTGAATTTGTTGCACACGAAACGAATGCAGTTTACCCGCAAGCTTCTCATGGCCTCGAGGCGGACAAGCCTCCGGGCCCTGATTGCAGCGATGAGGAGTATGGGATTGGACGAACTGATTCAGCCGTTGCTGTTGCTGTTATCATCCAAAGCGCCGACTTTCATTTGCCCCTTGAAGCCAGAGTACTGTTGCATGTACGCCACACTACCTATCATGTGGAAATTAGGCTTCATAGCCTGTTAGACATGGTGTGGTGTCTGTGTGTGTGTGTGCTGTGTGTGTTTGTTTGTATTATGTGTTTGCGTGCGTGCGTGCGTGCGTGCGTGCGTGCGTGCGTGCGTACGTGCGTGCGTGCGTGCGTGCGTGCGTGCGTGCGTGCGTGCGTGCGTGCGTGCGCGTGCGTGCGTATGCAGATGCGTGCGTGCGTGCGTGCGTGCGTGCGTGCGTGCGTGCGTGCGTGCGTGCGTGCGTGCGTGCGTGCGTGCGTATGCGTGCGTGCGTGCGTGCGTGCGTGCGTGCGTGCGTGCGTGCGTGCGTGCGTGTGGTGGGTGGGTGGGTGGGTGGGTGGGTGGGTGGGTGGGTGGGTGGGTGGGTGGGTGGGTGGGTGGGTGTGTGTGTGTGTGTCTGTGTGTGTGTGTGTGTTTGTGTGCGTGTGTGTGTGTGTGCTGTTTGCGTGTCTGTTTGTGTGTCTTTGTTTGTGTGTTTGTGTGCATGCGTGCGTAGGTGTGTGTGTGTGTGTGTGTGGGGGTGCGCGTTCGCGTCAGTGTCTGTGTCTGTGTTTGTGTCTGTGTCTGTGTCTGCGTGTGTGTGTGTGTGTGTGTGTGTGTGTTCGCGTGTGTGCATGTGGGCTGAAAAAACAACCCCGCGCCTTTTCGTTATGTAAGGGGCCGTCCCTTAACTTGTTTCGCAGGCCAAAACCATTGTAAACCGATACAGAGGAAAAAAACCGATACCCCCAGAAGCCATGAAAACACACATCAGGTCCTAGTTGTTGTCGCAAACCAAGATTGCGGAATCATAAATTTGCAGGGCCCAAACCGATACCCAAACCGATGCCCAACCGATACCCAACTCATTGGCCGCCATGCCGAATCCAACCAGCTGCCCTGCAGCCTTCTCTGGAGCTGCCAACATGTACTTTGTGTACTACATTTGTACTGAAAAGTTGCGACTTCCGCTGTGGAGCTGCCAAAATGTACTTCGTATACTACACCATACTACACTTGCTTGCACTGAAAAGCTGCGACTTTCGAGCCGGAGCTGCCAAAGTGTACTGCGCATACTACTGAAAAGTTGCTACTTTCCAGCTGAAAATGTACTTTGTGTACTACACTTGTACTGAAAAGTTGCGACTTTCCAGCTGGAGCTGGGAGCTGGCAGAGTGTACTTCGCATACTACACATGGAAAAGTCGCGACTTTCGAGCCAGAGCTGCCAAAACACTGCAAACCGATGCAGAGGACAAAAAAACCGATACTGACCGATACTGAGGCATAAGGATACAAGGGTTGTCCACGGGGTTTTTTTTCAACCCATGTGTGTGCGTGCGTGCATGTGTTTGTGTGTGGTGTGGGACAGTGTTTGTGTGTGTGCGCGCGCCCGTGTGTTCGTGTGTGCGTGTGTGTGTGTGTGTGTGGTGTGTTGGTTCGTGGGTGTGTTGGTCTCTATTGTGTGTGCGTGTGTTTTGTGCTGTGCGTTTATGAATACACAAATGTATATATATATATATAGCATGTGTATGTGTGTGTGTGCGTGTTTCTGTGTGTATGTACGTGTGTGTGTGTGCTACAGGCAAATCATGCTTAACGGGGTCGAGTCGTATACAGTTGCAACACGGGAAACCCACAAAAGACACTGCAAAGCTGCTGGACCGAGCAACTCATCGCGGACAACCTGTTTGCTAAAGCCCAGGATAAAGCTTAAACCCAGCCAGCGAACAGACACCATGAGGTGAAGCATGGAGGTGAAGGATGCCGATGAACAAAGATGCTGGCCTGTATTGGCCATTTTTGCAGTTTGTCTTCACTGCAGCAATCCCTTCAACATACTTTGAGTGGAATCTTGCACAGAAACAGTGTGCAAAGCTGCGAGTAATATTTCTTTTCAAGCTGCTCCCGCCAAGCTTCTGATGCACACAGGCTTGACGCGTGAAAGTCTACTCAGGGCAACAGCTTTATCATATAAGAACAATCCAAAGAACAGCAACAATCAGCGGTACGTGCTAGTAAGACATGCAGAGACACGCAAACATGCAAACATGCCTGAAGACCTTGGATGTTTACAATGCCCCTGTTGGCTCACCCGTCAACGCAACACGATGTAGCACATTATTAGTGAAATCCTTGACAAAATCAGATACTTGTGCCTTGCTATTGGATGAAGCACAACATCCATTGCCGAAACATGACCCACAGCTTTTGTGTTGCTCATCCCGTGTCCGCAAGGAGTTCCAAGACTTTGTGGCCGGGGCACCCGGGCTGTGTTCTTTAGGCTGACATCACGAAGGTCCGAGTATGCCCAGACTTTTGCTTGAGCTAGGCGCCGTTGCGCACCCTTTTCCGGTTAGCATGCACCACTCCCATGACATCTTAGCTGGGCCAAGCAGAAGACTAGAGCCTCGGGCTGGCTCAGAAGGCAGCCAACCGAGGCCAGCCCGGTAAGAGCCAGACCAGCCAATGTCTACCTGCGACAAGTCATGACTTGCTGGGATGCAAACACAGGGCAGCCATGATATGGCGCCAAGATTTGCGGTGCGGACTCTGGGGCCTGTCCAAACTGACTGCGTGTGCTTGTAATGCTGCAATGTGTTCACATTTACCCGCTGCACCTCCAACCGATTCTCTGGAGCGATTCTGGGAGCATCGCTCTGCAGACTGTCGCACAAATTTGCCCGCAGAAGTAAGCAAGTTCTTGGTTTGCCATCCCGCGACGGTTCAGCGCATCAAGAATCCATGTTCAAATGTGTGACAAAGCAATGCGGCAATACCTAGAGATTCGTTGCGGCAGAAATTTCTGCCGCAAATCAAAAAAGGTGCCTTTTTGGATTTGCGGCATTTCTTCCTGATTTGCGGCGTTTTTTTAGAATTGCGGCAGAACTTGTTTTCAGTTTTTTCTACCCCCTGATTTGCGGCGGAAATCGGCGGAAATCGGCGGGAATGCGGCGGAAATCGGCGGGAATGCGGCGGAAATTCCCGGAAAGCAAACGGTGTTGCGGCGTTTTTGTTTTGGTTGCGGCGTTTTTGTTTGTTTGCGGCTGATTTTCTGGAATGCGGCGGGAATTTCCGCCGCAATGCGTTGCGGCAGAAATTTCCGCCGCAGGAAGTTCTAGGTATGCACAAATGTGAAGTACCAGAGCTAGCTTTGAAAGTAGTTATTGTGTCTTTTGGCTTCCGCGATTTGGAGGCTCGACTGGCTGTGCAAATTGTCTTTCTGTCACAGCTGGCGGGAGGGGAAGGGGGGGGGAGACGTTGGATATTCTTCGCTACCTCAGCCCCTCCCCCGGTAGAAAGGCTTAAGTGCCATGCCGTATCGTACCCGCGCCGCACGTCTGGAAGCATGCGGAAGGGATCTTCTCATGGAAGGTTCGCGGAAGCTAGTTGGTTTCCTGTGAACTGAAAAGCCAGCGCTCATTTGGTGCAAATCGGCCCCCTTCTGGAAGCAGTGGCGATCACAATAGCCACTGGATCCGAGCTTGAACACAACATGGACATTATTTTCAGATTTGGACAAAGGATATCGAGCTGTTTCCAGACCCGGTATGACCCGGTCCATGTCCAGGTCGACCGAGACTCGACCACAATGTGTTCTCGTCCTCTCGGCGATTTCAAAATTTTGACATGTCCTTCGAGTCTTTACCAGTTAGCCTTCACCCTGTCCTATCATGTGCGCGTTTCGTGCAAACTGTGGGCAAGGGCGCTTGGAGTTTCCTAAGGCCCGCAGCTTGCGCTCCACGGAGCATTTGCCAGCAGAGGCACGGACAGTTGGGTGATTAGACATGCTTGTCTGTAGTCTGAAGGCCGAACAAAGGCCAGTCTTCAGATCGACTTCACTTTGCTTGAAACTAGATGCTTGCCATGGAAGCCAATGTGACTGTCTACAATGTTTGCGTCCTTCATTCCGGGCAATGAAACGAGCATCGCAGGCGACGCAGCCTGACTTTCAGGGTAAGGCCCTGAGTCTGACATGCGCGCTGTGCAACTTGTCCTGGGACATGTCTTCCAGTTGCATCCTCGAGACCTCACGTTTGCCCGTGGTTTGGCTTTGCGGAAGGCTACAAGTTCACTGGAAGCGTCAGGCCGGGCAAGCTGTACGGACTGTGCACGCAGTGCTTGGGCAAAGGGCAAGCGTGGTAGTTATTTTCTAAATATCATGAGTTCATGTCCATCAAAGACTGTTCAAGCTTGCTGCTGCACCACATGTTTGCCTATGGATTCGGAGTATTTCGATGGTCTCTCCTTTCCGCAGCCAGGCCTGGTAGTGTGTCCCCGCAGATGTCGCCCCCGGAGGCTGGGTGTTGTACTGGATGGGGAAGTGGGCTGAATGCCACTTCTGGGCGCTGAGTTGCCTTAGCTTGAGATTCGAGGCCGGCAGCTTACCTTGTTTGAATTGTTTGAATGGGCAGAAAGAAGCAGTCTACAGACAATTATAAGCGTCCAAAACGCATAATGCATAGGTGAGTCACAATCGAAACCCGGGTAAGCGAAGGTTAGTACCCAACCAGGGTTTGATTATGACTCATGTGTGTTAGGCTTTTGCTGGCCCCCGACGCGAAGCAAGGTTGAACATGTAGGATTAGTCATGCCCAGCAAGAGCTTGCTACATATCCCAAACTCAAGCTGTCGAGGATGTGGGCAAACGCACTGCTCGCACAACGGAGTTCCAGTGACATGCTGCGGCAATTGTCCCAAACTGCTTAGCTTGCATGCCCATTTCATAAGCCACTACAAGTTGATGAAGTTGGAGATGAGCTTGAGCAAATAAAATGAAACGCACCCCCACTACCAAACCCATGTGCACCAGCTGTATACCAGCAGATCAAACAAACAACTAGCGGCCGGCATGCTAATTTTGCATATTCCCAAACACACGCACACCACCAACATGTTTGACACCAGTGCAGCTACAGTTCCTTCTCATTGTCCATGAGACATGAAATCAACAGACTTCTGGGCAGTCTGTGAGGGCAATCCGAACATTGGCAGACAGCGGTACAGTCGGGGGTGTTGCCCGGACTGATGGCATGATGGCGTGACCATGACGAGAATTACCGAAGAGCCCCTTTTGAAGTAGCAGTTGTTTTTGGTCCGATGGACTTGTCAATGAGCTGGGCCCTATGGAAGCAGTCGCGTAACCTTCATGGTAAACTGTCCATCCCCAATCCTACTAACACTCGTCATTGTCTCTAGACAAGTGCAGTGATTGGTAAGTCTGCCTTTCAGGGCTGCTGCCTTCCAGACTATGCGCTGCATCCCAAGGGACTGCCCAGGCGCACAGGGACATGGGAAGACTGGGGCATCGCCGCTGAGATTTTGTTTGTTTTTTTCTTGGGGGGGTTGATCAACATTCCATTTAGCGCCTCCAAATGACCATGGGTATTTTCTCCCATGTGGGGAATCTCAGGCTTCCAGTGGTCAATGAGAAATGAAGGTTAACGTGTCATGTTGAGTGCGTTTGTTCACGTGCGCGCCACTGTGCGGGTATGCACACGCACATGGTTGTGGGTCTGCGCGCATTTAGGTTACAGAGGGGCGTGGCGATTCTAGCGGTGCCATTTATGCTTATATACTCCAGGCTAAGCAGCGGACAGGAACAATCTGCAAACGGCAACAACAGCAGCAACAACACAGAACCGAGCAACAGCAAGCACGAATCGTCAAACTAGGAAACTGACCAACTAGCAACGAGCAATAACAAGCAACCGCAAAGACCAACCGACAAGAAACAACCAACACAACACACACGCACAGTACCGAATGAGCGACGATTGAAACAAGATTCAGCCAGCGAGCGAGCAAGCAGCCAAACATCAAACAGCCAAGCGAGCAATCAGAGCAAGCAAGCAGGCAACCAGACGCCAAGCTACCAACCAAGCTACCAACCAAGCAACCATCCAACCAGCCAACACGATGGCTTCAAGCCTTATTTTGTGGGTTTACTGCCCAATGGAGCATTGTGTTGCAGGCTACAAGTGCTCACAAAGTTCCTGTGCATGCCTGTAAGGTAGAATCCTCATGATCGCTTTCAAGGGTCGATCCAGTTTTCAGGCAGCGCGAACACGAGGTACGAACGCACAGCCCAGCTTTGCCTTGCAGTTGACTAGAAGGGTGCATGATACTTGCCGATGCAATTGAAAGCGCAATGTTCAACGCAAAGTATAAGCAGCCGATACTGTAGCCAGGCGCCAAATTGTCAGGCCAGTTCAGGTACTTGCTCCTGACTGTTGGGCTTGGGACTGTATGTAATTAGGTACCAACGTTAGGTGGCCTGCGTGCAAGTGATGGTGCCAGCAGAGAGTTTTCGAACTGATTCTGCTTCAAGCTGCGATGCAGGTCTGAATTCTTGCGCAGCAGGACTCCAGACTGAAGGTTTGGGGCTGCATGGCAGAGGCAAATTGGGAGAAGGACCTGAAGCACGCAAACCTCGTTCCGTGTGCACACGCATGATCTTCAGGCGAGGGCACGCATGCAGCGTTGCAAAGAGGATTTGTTCATCGCAGCATGAGCATGGGCGAGCAGCTTCACATTGTGTCTGGTTAGCCACCGCACACGTAGACCTAGACCTAACGAACTAGGATTGGCCTGGTGCAATTTCCGAGCACAATGCATTGGAGACAACAATTATTTAGTTGCTGATATCATCCGAACATGGTTGCCACATCAACCTGGTGTCACCCTCGCCGCTTCTGGCATTGCTGGTTTTGAGTCTGCCATGTCTCGTGCACTGGGAAGTGGACGAATACGCGGTGACCACTGTTCACACATGCAACATCGTGCGTGACCTCTCAAAGCCTGGGCGAGCTCACTTCAACGTGGCACCTTGGAACCTTTACATGCCACGCCTTGTGTTGGGTCTCAGGACAAAGACGATTCCTGTGCTCGAGGGCGAGGACCTGGCAAAGATGCGGCAGGCCACGGGGCAGGAAGTGAGCGATCCCAAGCAGGGAGTTTGTTTGCTTGCTTGCTTCATTGCTTGTATGCTTGCTTGTTGGGTTGGTTGCTTGTTGTTTTAATCGCACGCAACACGATTCTGCTTGCCTAGCTTGTTCAATACCTTCTCCCCAAGGTTTAGCGGTTTGCGGATTACGCGTTTCAAGGATTAGAGATTAGAGTGCGTGGATTGCTGGTTGCGGATTTGCGGGTTGCACGGATGTCCGACGTTCCAGCAGAAGGCTTTGATATGCTTTGATCCACAATTTGCAGCACGGATTCCCGATGAAGGAATTTACCAACCCATGATGAAGGATTACGCGGCTTGCGGATTGTGATTCCCCCCCCCCCGATTTCGAACAGGCTAGCTTGTTTTGTTTTGAGTAGCATCATGTTCCTTGCAAGTGTGTATGTATGCAAAGCTATGTTGATTCAATGTGTATATATATATATACAATGTAGCTGAATGCACAGTAGTGGAATGCAATGTATTATAGTGCAACGCAGCGTGCTCAGCATTTTATGTGGCGTACTCCTGTGCAATGCAGTGTAGTGTAGGATGAGGCGGTGTAATGCGATGTTGTGTAACGTAGTCCAGCACATGTTTGTTTGTTGTGTGATTGGTTTAGCTCATTGGTTCTCGAGTTTGTTTCTTTGCTTTGGTTCTTGAGACAGTGGCCCATGGCCTTCAGCCACAGCCGAACTCTGAATATGAATAACCTGCTTTGGGGTCGCCAGTATCTTGTGGAGTATGTTTGAGGGACACGTTGAGGCACCACACAACTTCGCCGGCAGCTTGCTTTGCTTGAATTAGGTCACACGACAAGGTCACCACCGGTCAGGTATGACCTGAGCCAGGCGGTTTGGTCTTTGGTGCAGCGCTGTTTAAGCAAATATAACATGAATCAAGACGCTGCTTTTGCATCCGATAGCATTCAAGTGGCGTATACTGTACACATTTATCCCGTCAATTACGAACATCCGAGCGCTCTCGATTTCCTCAAGATGCGACCTGGCAGCGAGGTTTGTTCCTTGGGCCGAGACGTGCTGGACCTTGCGGCGCGCTTCCTTCGGCGTGGCCCTCTGATCTGGAGTTTGAGAGAGAGAGAGAGAGAGCCGCAAGTTTGAATATGTTCATAGACAGACTGACGAACAAAAATCATATTATGCGTTGCCGCGGTTGCGTAATATCTCCAGATCTCGGCTTAGTTCTCCATGCCGATCCACAGTTCTGATACACGTGCCAGATGGGAATGCCTGGATTTGAGATGGATGTTCCTCCATACCTTCTGCTCAAGTGGCCGGCATTTCACCAGCCCAAAGATAGTATGTAAACGATTCAGCAGAGCAGGCAATCTGAATGCAATTACGCAGCCTCAATGTGCAT